TCCTACCTTTTTAAAAGCTGAGTGATGTGCCATTTTCTGGATGTATAATTTTTGCTTATCCATGTGTTGGGTTCATTTGGGTTGCTTCTAAATTTTGTCAATCATGAATTATATTGCTATGAGCATGGGCTCAATATTCGAGAATCAGTGTTCAAAAAATATATTGGCTTGTGGCTTTCTTGTAGTTATTTTGTTTGGTTTTTGTTATCAAGGTAATTCTGACCTCAGAATGATTTAGGAAGTTTTCTTCCTTCAGTGTTTTGGAAAAGTTTGAGAATGATTAACTTTAAGTTTGTTCATTCTCTCTCTCTTTCATTTTTATTGTGAAAATACCATACAGAGGTATTACAATTACATAGGCAAAGTAATGAGTATATTTCTTATCAAGCTTTGTTGCCTCCTTTCTTTTCCCTTCCCATCTCTCCTCCCCCCATCCCCCCCCTTATCCCCCCTCCCCAAGTAAAGTTCGTTTTTTGACATAATATCTTGTTGCAATGGGTTCACTTCTATCCCTATTTAAACAATTTATTTTTTCCCTTCCCCTCCACAAATTATATCAATATCAAATACAGGGAAAGCAGGGGTTATACTGTGCGGGAGGGACATACAAAGCAACAAAGAAATTTATAAATATGTTAGAAACAATAACAAGAAAGAATAAACATTTGAGTCCTTATCTTGGGGAGGAACATTTTGCCTTATCTTGGGTTCATTTAATAATTTCTGACCATTTCTGCTTGTCTCAGACATATACTAGTTATTGCAAATAAGGGAAACCATGGGGCCTGTGTTTTTTTTGGGCCTGGTTTATTTCACTTAATGTAATTTTTAACTTTAAGTTCTTTAAATGTTCTATAAAATTTTTTGTGACGCTACAAAGTTTAGGGATTTTTTTTGTCATAGAACTGTTTAGAATTTGTGTCTCTTTTTTATTTATTGTTAGTAAAGTTTATGTATTTAAGGTTTGTCCACTTCACTACAGTTCCTTCCTTTTTTCTTCTTTTTGCTTTATATATTGGTTGGTCTTTGATTAAGTGGTATTTATAATTGTTTTATGTCTTTCTGTATTAGTATTTTTTATGTCTCTTGTAATCCTTTTTAATTTGAAAAGTCTATTTTATTTTGTATTAGCATAACTAATCCTGTTCTTTTTTTTGTTATTATTTCTGTGGAGTATCTTTTTCTGGTCTTTTACTTTTAGAATTTGTGCCTTCATAGCATAAAGCTGGCTCATGATGTTTTAATTCATTCCGCCAATCTCTGTGTTTTATAACTATAAATGGAAAATTAATCTGTTATATTTAAAGTCATTGCTGGTAAGGAGAGTTCTGTCTTTGGGTGTTTATTTTCAATTTGATTTTTAGAGCTCATATCCTGGATTCCTTATCTCTTTTGTGTTTAGTTGTTTCTTTTTTTCTTTTTTATGTAGGGACACATTTTAATTCCCTTTTTATTTTGTTTTTATACATTCTTTAGCTATTTTCTTTGATGATACTATAGGGATTAAACATTCTCAAGTTACACCACTCTAACTGGAATCTATATCAGCTTAACTTTAATATCATGCAAAATCTCTGCTCTTTTAACAGTAATGTCCCCATCTGGTTGTTGTTGTCATAAAATTACAGATTATGTATTATGTGCACCAAATCATAATACTTTTAAATGCATTAACCTCTTAGATTATATAAAAACAAGATGTAGCTTTACAAAGTAAAGTTAAAACAGAACTAGATTGTAGAATAATCATTGTATTTCATGAATATTTTTTATTCTACTACACATACAAACAAAAAGAACAGTTGCCATTTTAATTATTGACTTGTATCACTATCTTTATTGAGATCTTTCTTTATACTTCTAGTTGTAATCTAGTCCTTTGTTTCAACCATTAGAATTTCCTTGAGCATTTATTGCAGGAAAGAGCCACTGTAAGCTTTTATTCATCAGGGAATGTCTTATATTTCCCTTCACTTATGAATGACAATTTTGCAAGCCAGGATTTGAGATTGACTGTTTCTTTCTTTTAGCACATTGCCTTAGCTCAGTGGCTTGTGGCTTCAAAAGTTTTTGATGAAAAATTCGTGGATAGTATCATTCAGAATCCATATATATGATAAATTACTTTTCTTTTGCTGCTTTTTAAGATTTTTCTCATCTTTCAAAAGTTTGATTATATATCTTTGGGAGGCTGGGAAGGTGGCTCAGCGGTAGAGTGCTTGCCTCTCTTTCATGAGGCCTTGGGTTCGATTCCTCAGCATCACATAAACAGAAAAGGCTGGAAGTAGCACTGTGGATTAAGAGGGAGTGCGCCAGCCTTGAGCTGAAGAGCTCAGGGACACTGCCCAGGCTCAGAGTTCAAGCCCCATGACCAACCAAAAAGAATATATATCTTTGATTTCTTCTTACTTGGAGTTGTTGAGTTTCTCAGATGTTTAGTCTTGGCTTTCATAATATTTGGGAAATTTTTAGCCATTATTTCTTTAAATGTGTCTTTTGCTCCTTTCTCTCTTTACTCTTAGACCTTCTTCAGTTCATATGTTGTTCTGTAGACTCTTCCTAGTTCCTCACTCTTGTTTTTTTTTTTTTTTTTTTAAATGTTCTTTCTCAGGCTTGAAAGGCCTGGGCATTGTCACTGAGCTTGTTTGCTCAAGGCTAGCACTCTACCACTTGAGTCACAGCTCTACTTCTAGCTTTGTGGTGGTTAATTGAAGATGAGAATCTCATAGGCTTTCCTGCCTGGGCTGATTTTAAACCATGATCCTCAGAGCTCAGCCTCCTGAGTAGCTAGGATTGCAGGTATAAGTCCCTAGCACCAGGTCTAGTAAGTTTTTTATTTCAATTACTGTACTTTTCAGCTCCACAATCCTGTTTTATCTTCTTTTTAGGTTTTGCTTTCTCTTTGGTGACATTGCCTTTGTTTGTCCATCATTTTCTTGACTTTCCTTTTAGTTCTTTGAGTATCCTTAACAGTTATTGTAAATAGTTAAAAATATTGATCATCAAGTGTTTTTGCACAGTTTGTATTAGGTTTTCTTTGAATGAGTTATGTTTTACTTTTCTTTATATGCTTCCTGATTTTTATTGTTGTTGTTGAAAACTGGGCATTTGAATCTAATAATCTGATGATACTGGAAATCAGATTCTCTTCCTTTATTAGGGTTGGCTGCTTTTTGTCTCTATTGTTATTGGTGTTACAGGTTCTCTGTCCCAAGGATTAGGCTGGGTATAATTTAGTGTCTTATAAGTGTTTTCTGTGTCTGTTCCTTTCATTGAGTGTGCATATAATCACTTCCTCATTTTCCCTGTACATGTAGACATTATTTTTTAATGCTTCTCTTGAAACAAACTTCATTGTATAGATTAGTCTCATACGTGCTATCTTCTTGCCTCCGCCTCCATAGTGGTGGGATTACAGTAGTATGCCACTATACTGGCTTGCATGTAGTTTTAAAACATATATATGTTTAATGTAGTGGGGATGTTAACTAAGAAACACATCTGTAGGTGACTTTGTCCTTGTGTAAAAATCAGTATACTTACACACAAACTGAGATTGCTACCACATCATTAGGTAATACAATTTTATGGATGCACTGTCATATATGTGGTCTGCATTTGTGGTACATGTCAGTATTACACCAGAGTCTGCCAGCTCAATTGTCGCCTAGATAAGGAGACATATTTGTGGTACTTCTTACTTTGTCTTCTTTCCACAATCCTCCTTTAGTACATTTTATGAGTTTGTAGTCCTCTCTAAAGAGGCTGAGGAGAATGACCTACATGTAATTAAAAGTAGAGATTTTAAAGACTTTATGTAGCAGTCTTATTCCATATACTGGGATATTCTTAATCTTCCCTAAGTGGATTTCATAGCAGTTCCCTTGTGCTGAACAGCACAGAGTGGCTTATAGCCCATTTGAACTTACATCTATTAAAGAATGCATTTATTCTTTTAGGCCATCAAATATAGTAAAAACTTTCCATTTGTTTTGAGGGATGAAGGATGGGAAGACAGGGAAAACTTTTAATGGTTAGGCTGTAGCTTCAGGCTTGTACTACCTTTTGATTTTGTCTTCATCTAGCCATTTGTAAAATGAGAAAATCATTTTTAGGCTAGATATTTGTAACCTGTGATTCTTTTGACAACTGTGTAACTCTTAAATCTATAATACGAGGTTTCCCAGTATTTGGAAGGAACCGGTTTATGCTTCTGAGTAAAGCCTCAGGTCCTCAGCTAATCTTCTCCACTACCCACAAGGATCAAAAGCCACAGTCATAGGGAATTTGTTCCTCCAAAACCAGATTTGTTGGCTGCGATATAAAGATCCATAGAAGCTTTTGACATGTAACAGTACTTCTTAGAAAATTTCCATGGATTATTAGCAAGCTCTTTGTCTGTTAATACCCTTCTTCTCATGCTGCCACAGCCTTCCAATTTCTGGGATTATAGGCATGTGCCATCATACTCTGCCACATGTATGCTTAGAGAAAAATAGGAGGTGGTTTGATATTTATGAAATATCTCCTTATCATTCCTTTTCCCCAAAGTCTTGTCATACTGTACATAATGTTTTTGCCTGTATTTATCTTCATTTTAAAATATTGATTATAATTTAAACATATTTTCCACATGTATTTGTGATATCTTTTACTCCAGCTGCTTATCACTTCTAACTAAGGACTAGGAACTAGAAGCAGGGTCTGGCTCTTCAGGATATTCCTGCAGCACCATGGATAACATCTTATAATCAGTGGTGCTTAATAATACCAATAGACTTATGGCAAAGTCATTTGTCAAAAGCTAAGATCCTACCTCGTATTACTAATGCATATGATTTGATGAATATGTATTTTGTGAGTTGTACAGTTACTATGTAAATTAATTTAGCCATTTTTTTTTATTCCTTCAAGGGAGTAATCAAAGCATTGTTTCCATTCATTAGTTGGCTTGGTTTTGAATTCTATGGTACAAAAACAATGTTTTCTTTATTTTGCAGTGAGGGAGATCAGCCTGCAGGACATCAAAGAGGACTTAGAATTGGATCCAGAAGAGAACAGCACCCTTTTTATGGGAATCCTTATCAAGGGTCTGGCCAAACTGAAGAAGATCCCAGAGACAGTTAAGGCAATCAAAGAGCGCTTGGAACAGGAACTAAAGCAAATCGTGAAACGGTCTACTACCCAGGTGGCAGACAGTGGCTATCAGAGGGGAGAAAACCTCACTGTGGAGAACCAACCAAGGTAGATGGGGTACATTTTGGGTTTTTGATAACTATTTATTGTTACTGAGCAAGGGTTTTAGGGAGTAGATCTGAGTTGGTGATCTGTGAAAATAGTATCTGTCTTATAGGCTCGCCTGCTTTAGACAAGGTTAAAAGATAATGGTGTTTGATAGAGTCACACCAGCGTTGCAATGTATACATACATCTGTACGTGAATACACATGTCTATTTCCTATTGGTGCCTTCTTCAACTTCCACATGGGGAATCATTTATGCCATCATCCAGAGAAGCTGGGAAAGTAGCATTACTATAATGTATATTGAAAATAAAATGCAAGGACACAGATCAATAACTTTTCTTCAGATCTCATTACAGAACCCTTAAAAACATTGTGTCTTTTGTAGGATTTGACCTCTTCTCTTCTATTACCTCAACCCTTCCAAGATTCAAGTGTGAAAATCTTAGTGCTTGAAGTAGAAATTTTAGCTCTCTGCCCTAGAAACACTAAATCTTTCTTTGTGAGGTATGGGTCAGCAGCTTGGTTGTTGGTTGTTTCGTTTTATGCATTTCCCCTCTTTAAGTCCATATTTTAAAAAGCTTTTGTAGGCAGGATATATTAGACACAAAACAGTGAACAAGCTGTTTGCCTCAGTTTCTTCTCTATAATAGAATCTCATTTTATAAAATCTTTAAATCTAAGAATTTTGGTCCCATACTCTTTATTAGGAGATAAAATGAAATATCATCAAGGAAGCAAATACTTGAAGTGAGTAAGTCACTTCCTTATAAGGTTGAAGATTAAATTCCCCATGGCCGATTACTTTGATAGTCTCTGATTGCTGTTAAATGCTTTAAAGCACCTCAGGAATTAATTCCCTTGAGTTGATCACAGCCATTCTAATATGACTAGAATGCTTGGTATCAAGACTGTCACCACCACCACCGCCACCACCACCACCACCACCACCACCACCACCACCACCACCACCACCACCACCACCATCATCATCATCATCATCATCATCATCATCATCATCATCATTCAGTACTGAGGATTGAATCAGGGTTTCAGTTTTACTAAGTGATTAATACATTTCCACTTGAGCCAAGACCCTACTTCTTTAGCTTTTAGTTTTTTTTCAGATAGGGTTTCATTTTTGCTTGGGTTGGCTTCAAATATTGTATCTCTTACTGCCCTGCTAAGTAGTTGGTTTAATACCTAATGCAGCACCACACCTTGTTTTTGAGATGGATTCTTGTTAACTTTGGTCCAGAATGGCTTTAAACCGCTGTCTTCATAGTTGTACCTCCCAGGTAGCTGAGATTACAGATGTGTACTGCCATGCCTGGCTGTTGTCACTTTTATTCTCTAGCCATTTAGAAAATCTTAAAGTTTGTTTTCCTTAAACAAAATTATAGGCAAGAATCATCTAACCTTCTACCCCATCGTGCATATACCTTGTCCCTCCCTAATGAAATACTAATGCATTAGCATGCCTCTATAGGCAAGAGACCAGTACTGTAACTCTGTAAAAGTTTCATTATGCTCATTATGCCATATTAACTATATTCTGATTGTGGTGCATTGCAGGCCTTTTTCCATTTGTCTTTATGTAATACATGGCATTTTACTGGGTATGTAAAAGGAACTAGGATATTGAATTCTGTCTTATTTTAATTCCTATGGAGGCAGAGCACTTCCAGAATACTATTTTCAAAAATTACATTGGTGATCCACTTCTTATTTTATTTTTTAGCTCACAAACAAGCCATTGTTTATTTATAGGAGAAGTTATTTCATTATTTGTGTTCATTCTTAACCTATTAAGCCTTCACATACTACTAAAAGGAACTCTTCAACAACTGTTACCTTCATCATGGTAAATATTAGCATAATATGGTACCTGCTTATCTTGTAGAATCACCTGCTACCCGTTATTTCCCCACATGTGTGGGCAGTGTCTTCCAACTGTTGATAGTAAATGTGGTCTGCAACCTGTGCATTTAAAAATCAATTCCTATAACCCATGCCTTCTAATTGTTGATTCTTTTCCAAATTTAGCTTATGAGTATTTTCATACCATTTTCTCTGTGTGCGTGTGTCTAAGAAGCCAGATGAGACTCTGTAATATTTAACAAAAAAGAAAAAACATGCAGAATAGAAGTAAGCACAAAATTATCTCAAAGTTGTGAAATCAAGAATACAGAAGAGAGAAGAATGTAGGGAAATGATTGGTATGTGGACAGCATCATTTTATCTATTTTAAAATTGTGTTTATATGTGAAGGTAAAATTTGATTGGGTTGGGGAGATATTGAAGGCCTACTCCACTAAAATAGTGTTGGTCTCAAGAGGGCAGAAAGAATTGAACAAGTTGGAGTCATGGCTGCCAGAGAGATCTTTGTCCCTATTGGAAAAAGACCATTTTGCAATGTTCATTGACCTTTATTATAAAGAAGGAAGATTAAATGTCAGCTATGAAGGCAGAGAAAATTACATGTTTTGTGCTCACTGTGGTATGGAAGAAAGTTCATGGGAAACTTAGAAAAGAGAGAACATTTAACATTAAAAGTAATATTTGTGGTGTAAGGCTGTTTTCTCCCTTTACCCCCTTTTTACTGTTTTTGTTAAGATAAATTAAAACAAAATTTAATAATGAAGTCATTCAACTTATTTTAATCAGTGGAAATCATTAAAAATGAAAATACTTCTTGGAGGTATACATGCCCATAAAACTAAATTTTAATATGAAATTAATGAAATAATCAGTCCTTAGACTAATTGGCTATTGTTCTTTAAATTTCATTTTATGATAAGTAGATGTATCTGTGTGTATCTGGTTATTTCTTGTCTGCTTCTAGCAAGGAAGAGAAGATAGACTCATTTTGCCTCACTTAGCTCTAGAATCTAGCAGAGTGCTTGTCTTGTCCATACTTAATATTGATTGGTAAGAGAATAAATTCTACATGGAGTGAATATCTTGAACCATACATTGTACTAAAATGTCAAATAAATCAAACATGTTCTATGTCCTCATAGAAGCATTATGTTGACAACCCTCTGATAAATATTTTACTACAAACTATGGTTAGAGCTATAGAGGATAAGGAAAGTGTATAACAAAAATACATGACCATAGATAGGTTACCTTTTCTAAGTCTGGTAGGTGGGCCTTAGGGATAGCTTTATACTAGCTGTAGTTGACAAGCATTATTTATTTGATTGCATCTACTATTTGTTCTTTTGGTAGTATATGTAGCATGACATTAACATGCCAAATGTGAGAAGAAAAGGGGCCATTTTCAGTTTTTGGTGACCTCTGTGGTTGGTTGGGTGAATTTTGATGTGTATTGCCAAGTGTACTCTTGATGGCATGTTACCATGTCATGTATAAAGTTCGAAGGTTCCTATATTCCCCTACCAATAGATTTTTTTTTTGACAAATGTTTTTGTCTTTGTCAATCTGAGAGGTAAAAACTGGTATTTCCAACATTATTTATATTTGCATTTTATTATGAATGAGGTTAAGCTTTTCATTTTTATAAAAATTTGTTGCTGCTATATGTACTTCATTTATGGCTATGGAACAGACAAAACAAGTCACAAAAATGACATTTTTCTTTTGAATTAGGGTGGAGGTTCAGAATGGTTCATTTTTTGATGTTTGACATTTTCAATACTATAATATCAAACTAATTTTTAATTTCAATAATTTATCTAGTATATTTGTGTATAATTTGTAGAACCTCTTTATATATTTAGGAAACCAACTTCAACTTATTTGACAACTTTTCAGTTTCTTTTATTTTGTTATATTTCTGGTTACGTAGACATCTCTTTTTACTTTTAGGAGACTATCTTAATCAATGATTTTTATAGCTTTCTAGATTTTGTGTCAAACCTATTTATAAATTATGAATAAGCCTTTCCAGTTTCTTTTAGTCTCATTCTTAGTACAGGTGCTTCTTGACTATGATGTTGTTATATGCTGGTAAACCCATGCTAAATTGAAAATGTCATACACCAAAAATGCATTTAATACATCTAAGTTACTGAACATCATAGCTTTGAACACAATACACTGTACCGTATTAGTTGTACTCCTGGGTGTTTGGGGTTGCCACTGCCCAGCCTCACAACCTATCATAGTTAGTCCAGAAGCAGTTCAAAATTCACAATTTGAAGTGAGTTCATTAAACACATACCACTTTCAAACCTTCCTTAAGTTTGGAAACCTGTATTTGCAGTAGTACTCCCTTAGCCACAAGGGATACCCTGATGGATGCTTGAAACTATGACAAACCCTATATATGTTATGATTGTTTTCCTACACATATGTGTATTTATGGTAAAGTTTAATTCATAAGTTAAGGACAATAAGGATTGAGAACAACAAGAAGAAAATAGGGTAGTCAGAAGAATATGCTGCAAGTTATCTGAGCATAGTTGCCCTCTCAAACTCTTTTTTATTGTTCTTGTTTTTTCTTGTAGTAATGTGAGATGACATGTAATGAGAAGAGTAAGGTGCATGATGTATGTAGTCACTGTGACATAGTACTAGGCTATTCTGTAAAGGTTACTTGACTACAAACACACCCTACTAGTTGATCTGATAACTGAGGCAGCTACACAGTGACAAATGAGTGCTTCATACACAAAGTACATATGCATAGGCAAAAAGATGATTTCATCATGATTTGTAAAATGGCACTCCAAATTACTTTGGGAATTTTCTTTTAATATTTTAGGATTGTATTTGAAAAAGGAGTGACTGAAACTATAGAAAATAAAACCTCATATCTTTGCTAGATCTGGAATGGAAAGGAGAGCTCACATACTTTTACTCAGATCTGACATTTCACCATATTGTAATGGGCTGTTCATCCCTTTCACTTCTGCCACCTGTGTTTCTGGCATGCAATTGATTGTCAGGAGTAGCTGTTTGCTTGCTGAATAATTCTAATACTGAATCATTTACTTCCTTTATAGTCAAGGTTCCTTTCAAAGTTAATACTTGC